AAGCAAAATAAAAAGATAATCTGTAAGTTGCATGAAGATATGGCACATAAGAATAGTAAAAGATCATGCATACTTCATATTATGCTAAACTATGTATAATTCAAGTTATTAGTGATCTAAATTGAAACCAATTCAATGGCTATCAGAATCCCATTACGGTAATAATATAACTGGCATTGTAACCATACACTTGAACTTTATATCATTCTCTCCATTTTGGAAGGAAGGAAAGTACTTATAATTGTTTGGTTGATAGGGATTTGGAGGAATATTACGTGGAGGAACTAGTGCACTTCCAATAAGCAAGGAGCTATTTAGACAAACTATACACTATAAAATTGGGAAGATTAATTAACATAAGGTCATCTGCTTTATACTCTATAGGTTAACAATAATGGGAGTTGTAACACCATTGTTATCCCATTTACATGCAACTCAAGTGTTGGGAATATGATTGTAGGTATCGAAAATTACCTATGAATGAATCATTTCAAATATTTTTTCTTTACTGCCACGACAGCAAGAGGTTGGTATTGCTAGACTCTTTATCAATCTCCACCCAAGCTAATTGAGAAACTAGTCATCATGTATGTACTTATACTAGATAAACATAATATAGGAACTCTTATATGTTTCTTGCTGAGCATACTCGACTCAGTATGAGAAGCTCATATTTAACCCCCATTATATTGAGCTTGGTTCTTTAATATTCACTAAATAAATTTCAAGCTTATTCCAAATACTAACTCTTGGTATTAAGGGTGATAACTTAAAGCATGTTTTCCGAAGTTCAAATGTGTAGTAGGGATAGTGGGTATGTCAGGCATGGCCAATTAACCTAAGGCATACTCTAGCTCCTGTTTGTATATCTATTTTTATTTTGCATTCGGTTTAACCCAAGTTCTATACCATACTAGCTAGTGGAGTACCCATATCCTTGTGTTAAGCTACTGATATGCTAAAATAACACTAAACTTTATTTGGCTCTGTTTAGCTCTATTTTGTGTGTTAATCTTGGCATTAGGATATTTGATGCTCTAGGACTATTCTTATGTCACTTCATGCTTCTATTCTTTTGCTTCTTGGGCTAAATGCTCAAGAGTCGCTCTATACTCTAGTTCCTTCGCTCCTTAGCTGCAAGCTTGGGAGTTTGATTCCATTCCTTTGTTTAATGGATTAAGGCCCTAAAACTCGGGTTCCACTCCACTGTCCTTAGACATGTGGCATATAAAAAGTTTAGGTTCTGCTTCATAGTTATCCTATAATAAATCACTATAGAATAAAGGGTGAAAACCATGTGTGCTATACTAAATGTTTAATAAATGCTACTTGAACTAGTGGAAAAATGCTTGTCAAACACTAATCCTAAGACTTAGCATTGGTAGTTCATAGCAATTGTAAAGGTGAATTCAACTCCATTAATAATATCAAATCATGACCATATAGAAGTTCATATAGTGAAGCACTAATGAAACTTTGTACCCCTATGCCATACGTATACTAAAAAAGTGGCAAATAATCAGCCCAATTTAAATCCTAATCATCCTTTTGAAAGTCTGAATACTATTATACCAAACCATTGGTTCATAAATGATAAGCACTTGTGAAAGTGTTGTGTATCCTTAGCTAAGACATTAAAATATGAAATATCTTAACTATAAATATGAGACTTTATTTGAGAGAATCTACTATAGACATGAATGCTAAAATACCTCTCAATTTTGGAAGAAGTATTTAACAATAGTCACAAGTGCACTAGCAAAAGCACTGGCTTCCACCTAATGAATCAAGTAGTTAGAGGCAATAATGATATATTCATTGCCATGAATTAACTATGGAAAAAGGCCCTATCAAATCAACATCACCAACTTAAATGGATAGGAAATTACAATTGACTCCAATTGTTCTTCTGTAACATGAAGAGTATTATGAGTTTGGCATTAAACATAGCTATATATATATATATATTGAATAATATCATATCACATCTTTGACTAATAAAAAGACATGTGTAGCTTCTTAGTCACATGATAATGTACAATATACTTGTTTAGAATAGAAGAGTCATGGTAAGCGTGAAGAAAGAGTAGAATAAAGATTGAAAGCACTATATTACCTCACCAACTTCATGTGAGTTTTTATGGATGACTTTAACATCTTTAGCAGCAAAAAATAACATCCCCAACATCTTGAGAAATGTTTCATCAAATGTCAAGAAAACAACATCACCTTAAACCTTGACAAATCTACCTTCTTTGTCAAATCTGGCATCCTACTTGGACACATCATCTGCATAAAAGGCATCCTCGCCCGCCCTGATCGGGATTTCTGGTGCAAGCAGCCAGCATCGCGCTCCAGGCGACTATCGTCTTGCACGGCATGTCATCAAAGACCTTCCGCGTGTCTGCCAGGCTGCTGCATTTCCCATACATGGTTAAGAGGGCGCAGCACACGACTGGATTGCTCGCGATCACAGGTGGCGCGGCAATGATCTGGGCGTGGATCCGGATGCCCGACTGGAGATCGGGGCAATTGGCGCAGGCGGCAAGCGCGGCGACGAACGAGACGTGGGTGGGGCGGACAACTGAATCGCTGGTGAGGGCGAGGAAGAGATGAATCGCTTGCACGCTCTGGCCGTTTGCGCAGAGCGTCGAGATCATGATGTTACAGGAGAAGGCGTTCTTGTGGACGAGATCGTGGAAGACGGACCATGCATCCGGGAGGCTGGAGCACTTGCCATACATGAGGATGAGGAGATTGCTGAACAAGGGGTGGTGGCGTAGGTCGAGGGTGGCGGCCAGGTGGCGGTGCAAGAGCTTCCCTCCCGGGAGGGACTTGGAATCACCACATTGGCGCAGAAGAGTCGCGATTTGGCGTGGAGATGCCTGCAGGAGGCACCGCGATCACTCCTCTTGCTACTTCGCTGGATGTCATGGCAAAGACACACTCTCTCTCTCTCTCTCTTTCTCTCTCTCTCTCTCTCTCCATGATCCTGTGAAGAGCTTCATATGGATCATCACATTTTTGTCAATAGCTTCACATAGGCACTAAACAACAGACATAAAAGAACTCAGAAGCAATCAGTCTTCTAAGCATCTTATCCTCTGGCATCAAATGTTGGATCAGTGATGTCCTTTTTGAAGTCTCGCTTGTTGTTTGAGGTGGGCACGTGCTCCTATTGGTGTTCATGGGGTGTTGCAAAGCTGTGGGCTCTCAATGTAAAGGGGATTTCCTTGGCAAAAGAGCTTGAAAATTTGGTGTGCTGTTTTTCTTGTTTTGCCATTTTGTTTTACATGAGACATGTAGGAAATCCTGAGCTCAAAAGTTCACTAAGATTCATTTGCATAAACTACACTTTGGCAGAAAAATTATAACATTTATTACAAAATACAATAATCAGTTAAAAACAACCCATTCATCATCGAATGGATCTAGGACGTACAATTTGCCTTGCTTCTCCACACATTGTCCAATATTCCAGCGATGGGTAACTTTGGTAAAATCCACACACTTTGACAGCGCAAGAAGGAATGGGGTTACATCTGCCAAGAAGTGGTCATCCTTTGACCCTCAAACTTTGGAGCCACCACCACGCTCTCTTGATGACCTTGGTAGAAGTCAATAATGTCATCCAGTGCCACCACCCGCTTGAAATCCCGAAACCCTACATGGTCAAGATTCTTGACTTTCGTCCCGTCCTTTAGAACAACGCAATTGCCACCATGTAGCCTCCTCGACACAAGCCCCCCAGTAGGATCCAGATGGTCAACCACAAGGTTGACATACTTCTCCTGGGCGGCACTAAACACCACGATATCGTACACTTTTGAAACCTTCCCCAGAAATTCATCTATGCCTGGTCTCTTCATGATGTGGAGTGGTGCATCATCGTCGAATTCCATGCTGAAATCTACAGAAGAGACGAGATCCTTATGAGCATATACCAGTGTATTGTCTAGATCGAGAATGAGTGTCTTCTTCATGATACCCTAAAAAATGACTCGTATTCCGTGGAAATGAAGAAGGGCCACAAAAGGTGACCAAAGGTGCCACGTCTGCCCTAAACTCTATCCGATGTGGCCTTTTGTATTCTTGTACCCTACTATTGGCAAGGGAGCCGGAGGAGCGCGTCGATCCTCAATGCAGCTTAGATTCCAAATCTAGAGCCTCCGTGATCATCTGGCAAGGGCAGAGGTGAGTGCGCTGCTGGTTTGCAGCCTACTGTTGGCGAGGCAGAAGGAGGTGAGAATGCAATTGTAGCAAGTTTGTTGTGAATCCATTGACGGACAGCTGATGTGCGCATTCTAGGCTCCAGCCGTTGGATAAGTGCAGTAACGACTCCTCAATCTCTTTTGTGCTTTCAGCAACGACTCACAATGTTAACACTGACCAGAGTCCACCATGGAGAGGAAGAGAGCTGCTGGTCCGAAGAAACTACACACTCAGAAGCGATCCGACGTCATGCTCGAAAGGACCCGCCCACTGGATCCGATTAACCGAGCTCGATCAGGTTGGTCAAAACTTGAAACATCTGCACTTGTCTGATGAAGATCCTCGTTGAAGCAGGAGCAGGAGAAACTGATCATGATGCATCCGCGTTGCAGGCTGCTCCTGACGCTGGTACGAGGAATTCCTTTTGTTGGCTGACACGACTCTTTGCTGGTTTGATTCATGACTTGCAGAATATGTTCGGCAATTCCTCGCAATGGCACAACGCTTGGAGAGATTCAAGATGCTCTCGGCGAATGTTGTGACCGGGATCGTGGAATCGATCCAAAAGGGAGGGGAGACTCCAGTTGCAGCAGCAGGTGGATACAATAATTTGTCTCTTTGGCATCTTTTCGCTTCTGAGTGGCCCCTTGTCTCTCTTGTCCAGGCCGCTTCTGCAGCAGCTACGAAGTGCTCGCTTGTGTTGGCCAGGGGGCGTCCGGGAAAGTATACAAGTGCCGTAGCAAGGAGGACGAACAAATCTACGCCATCAAAGTCATCAAGGTTCGCACAGCAACGAAGTCCAGAGACCAGGATGTCGCGCTCGTCTTCAAGGAGGGAGAGATGCTCCAGCGCTGCGAACACCCCAACATAGTCAAATACTTCGACATGTGGAAGGAGGAAGGCGAGCCGGGCAAGTCGAAAGTGTACATTGTCATGGAGTTTTGTGGCCGCTCGCTCCAGTCGGTGCTCCTCGGCGGCGAGTCACCACCTGCAGATGCGTTTAGGCAGCTTCTTCAAGCTGTGGCGCATGTGCACGACAACGTGGGTGTTCATCGGGATATAGCACCACACAACATCTTCGTCACAGACGATGGACGCATCAAGCTGGGAGATTTCGGTCTTGGTAGGCAAATGAAACATCTCTTCCATCTCTCATTTGTTGGCTTACAGCTAAAAATAAGGAGTCCATGCTCGAGACCGAAAATATCAAGAAGGGGAGAGCAGTTTACTACTCTCCCCAGCGCCGGAGCAACTCAACCTACACTGACATGCTTGCGCTTGGAGTTATACTCTTCGAACTTCATTGGAGGTGTCCCCCGGACCAGGTTTGGCTGCAGTTTGTGCAACGTGCTTGCTTAGTTCGGTGAATCTGTGTAGGAAAGGGAGTCGGTATTGATTGACGTCCGGGATGGCGTTTTACCAGCAGACTGGGCGTACCAACACCCATCAATTGCGCCCAAGGTGTTGGAGCTGGTCGCAGCAAGACGCGACCAGCGTCCATCCGCGCGCGACATCCTCTGTGATCCTGCCTGGCAATCTGTTTGGTGAGTTTCTTTCATTACTCTGATTCTCTGCTTGGCTTCTAACATGTCTGTTTGCAGCTGATCGTTGTAGTTGTTTAGATTTACTTGCTCCTTTTTGTCATCTTTGTAGTCTTGGTCTTTTTCAGCATGCTGATTTCGATTCAGAAATATGAATTCGTTGCCAGTTCATTGCATTTCTGCCAGGCCGAGTTGTTCTCGATCAAGGTTGCTGAACAACTCAAGGGCTTCCGACATTCTTGTAGTCAGGTTCGGTTCAAGGAACAGGATTGGTAAACAGCACATTGACGGGAGATGCAACAGCGTGGTGTCCACAGCTGGCTTCTTGTAGGGTCCATGCATCTCAGCTCAAGTGGGCAGAGATCGAGTGGAAGCTGGAGAGCTATCCCAATTCTCGGGAGATGCGATGAAGAAAATGGCGGGATTGTTGATTTTTGTAGAGAGAATATTCGCACCTTTGACCTGTTGACCTTTTTACAGGAAAACGTTTTCCTACAGGCCTTTCTGAATTGAATCCAAGGAACCTGGAAGTCAAAACAAGAGATTAGCTTCAGAACACTCAAAAGCTCACCCCTGCAAGTTCTGTTGGTACAGGGTGAATGAGTTTCTTTTTGCCCACTCAAAGCCCCATTTTTGACGAGTCTGCAAAATTATAGAAAGGAAGAGTCAAATGGAGAGAGAGAGAAATATATATATATGAATTGATCCAGGTTTCTTGTTTTTTTCATACCTTGAGGAACCAATCGTTAAATTCCACTGATTTCTTTGCATACTTGAATGCAAAGAATAGCAAATAATGAAGCTAGGTGCTTGGTTAGATTGAGGCAAGTTTTCAAATAGCTAGAACAAACTTTAACTCTTTTAAGTTGTTTAGTGTTTAACCATCATGACATCAATCTTAAAACACGTCCAGAAGTTGGATTTTGTGCCCTCTAGATTAATGATGTTAATTTTAGACTCTTTGTCAGTGTTAATCCTTGTAATTTATAGGATAATATAGAGTTTCTCAGTTTTATATAGTTTTTCAAATTTTACTTGATACTCTTCCAGTTCTAGATATGAGGCAAAATAAAGAACTTCATAGTTTTTTATATGAAAACTTTAAAGTTGGTAGATTAGAGAATATTCTAGAAGATACTTAGATATTTAGGTATATTCTTTATACCTATAAAGCGAAATATAAAGAAAATCCAAATTAAGAACACTAAAGTATTCACAAATGAAGATCACAATTTAAACATTGTACATTAAAACCGTTTTGATCAGCTAAAAACTAATCACTCAAGTGACCAGCTTAATTTCAATACCAGAATGTGGATATTCAGTACCGCGGTTCCTCTGCTGCAAACAAAAACACGTAAAAATACTTGTAGGGCAGGGACAATAACATCGTCCTATTCATCTTCATTGTTTTTGGTTTAGTGTTGACCACCAAACCTAAGTTGGATATAAACAGCTTTTTGCTTTTTCTTGGACTTTCCGAGAATGTGGATCACTATTGGATTTGTATGGCTGGATCGCATCCCAGTATGCAAATGATCTTGTGCGCCTCATGACACCCAATGCGTGATACACGACTGTCAAGGCATTTGTGGAGAGTTACTTTGGCTACGACATGACATTTGGGTGTTGTCGTGGGTGTCTTGGTCGGCTTCCCGGTCTTCTTTGCCTTCATGTTTGCCTAATGTATCAAGTACTAGGAGGTAGCTCTTTTTTTCCAATCTCTTTCAGGCTCGGTCAAGCAAAAGTTGTGAGCTCATTACTAGGATGATACACTTTTGAAGCAGAAGAGCTTGAAAACTTGGTGTTCTTTTGGCTTGTTTTACCATTTTGTTTTACACAAGACATGCAGGAAATCCTCGAAAGTCACTTCCATAAACTATTAGGGGGAAAATTATAACATATATTACAAAATACAATAGTCAGTTAAACACAACCCATTCATCATCGAATGGATCTGGGACGTACAATTTGCCTTGCTTCTCCACATTGTCCAATATTCCAGCGATGGGTAACTTCGGTAAAGTCCACACACTTTGGCAGGGCAAGAAGGAAAGGGGCTACATCTGCCAAGAAGTCCCGCTTGAAATCCCGAAACCCTACATGGTCAAGATTCTTAACTTTCATCCGGTCCTTTAGAACAACACAATTGCCACCATGTAGCCTCCTCTACACAAGCCTCCGAGTAGGATCCAGATGGTCAACCACAAGGTTGACATACTTCTCCTGGGCGGCACTAAACACCACGATATCGTACACATTTGAAACCTTCCCCAGAAATTCATCTACACCTAATCTCTTCATGATGTGGAGTGGTGCATCATCGTCAAATTCCATGCTGAAATCTACAGAAGAGACGAGATCCTTATGAGCGTATACCAGTGGATTGTCTAGATCAAGAATGAGTGTTTTCTTCATGATGCCCTAAAAAATGACTCGTATTCCGTGGAAATGTAGAAAAACTTATTCAAATTTTTGTAGAGAGAATATTCGCACCTTTGACCATTCACTCACCACAACAGAACTTGCAGGGGTGAGCTTTTAAGTGTTCTGAAGCTACTCTCTTGTTTTGACTTCCAGGTTCCGTGGATTCAATTCAGAAAGGCCTGTAGGAAAACGTTTCCCTATAAAAGATCAACAGAGTTTCTTTTTGCCTATGGTGGAACCTCAATGCCAAGTACCTTTTTCTGAGGACTCTGCAAAATCATAGAAACAAACAAACAAATGGAGAGAGAGAGAGAGAGAGGAATTGATCCATCAATTTTATCTGTCTAGGTTTCTAGTTTCTTCCATACCTTGAGGAACCAATCCTTAAATTCCATTGAGTACTACTCCTCTTTTTAAATAATTTGTTGTACTATTTAAAATACACTACTCCTTTTTTTAAATAATTTGTTGTACTATTTAAAATACACTACTCCTCTTTTTAAATTATTTTTTGTGCTATCTAAAATATATCACAATGTATATTCTAATATATTTCTTAACATACTTGAATGCTAAACATAACAACTAATGAGGCTGGGCACTTGTCTAGATTGAGGCATTTGCATAATGTTAATTGCTAGCTATTGCACTTCAGGACAAATGGTGAGAAATGGTGTCCCCACTAGTCTTTAGTTTTTAAATAGCTAGAACAATGTTTACCTCTCTTAAGTTCTTTTGTGTTTAACCATCAGGCCATCAATCTTAGACGGCTGGATTTTGTGCCCTCTATATTACAGAATGAA